CATCAAAATAACAGCGAGAACTTAGTTGCGCACCTAATAATAATGTACATTTTTGATGATGATTTTGTAATAAATATGGCAATGATTTTTAAATGATCTTTTTAGTTAAAAAAGTTAATTAAAAAAGTTAATTAAAAATTTCAATCATTGTCATATCAAGAATTTATATAAAATCATCATCAAAAGTGAATTAAATCATTATGATTTTTCTTAAAATGATTTCAACTTGATGTTATCTTTTCTATTAAAATTTATATCTATATTATAATTGTGTCCTGAATAGCTTTTTCGCTTCGTGTCGCAAGAGAAAAATGGGATTGTCCATCACCGCAATAACGCTTGAAACAACAATTGTGAGACAGGAATAATAAAATTAATGTGACAAGATGGTAATGACACATCTCCCACGGGAGTCGCGCGCCAGCAGTTTGTTTCGGTGAACAAAGATAGGTGAACAAAGATAGGTGAATAACCGGTAATTGCATAATCGGAGAAAGTTATTGCGAAACAGGTCGGTGCATACTATAAACGCCCTGACTTAAGCACGTGGCTCAAGCGCGATGGTACCACGCTAATCGTTATGTCATAAACTGACGAAAGGTCCGAGACTTCTCGTCCAATCGGCTGACGACGCAACCGATCCGCTCCTTTCCAACGAAGTGAAAGAAACGAGCACATTTCTTCCGGACACCTTCGCCATTGAACAGAAACTGTGTTAGCCGGTCACCAAACGGTATCGTTTGGCGTCTCGGAAAAAAGTGAAAACACGCCGTACCGCGCATAATTAAATTGAAAATTATTACAAGAAGATAATAAATAAGAATAAATATTCTCGTTAAGTAGGTAATAACACCCAACGCGCAAAATTCCGAAAGAGGAATCGTGTATTTTATTGGGAAATATAATTTGCATATGACAAACATACTTACAGCATAAATTAGCATAGCAAAAATTCAAATTTTTTTTTATGAATATATAAATTTTAAGACTGTGATTTTTAAGTTTTATTTCTTTTATCGTCGTATTTTTTCGCAAAGATTTTCAAAAAGATAAAACAAATAACGTGAGAAAAATGAAAAAGATATCTGTTTAATTAAAAATTCAAATTTTACATATTTTTAGCAAAAATTCAAATTTTACATATTTTTAATTAAACAGATATCTTTTTCATTTTTCTCACGTTATTTGTTTTATCTTTTTGAAAATCTTTGCGAAAAAAATACGACGATAAAAGAAGTAAAACTTAAAAATCACAGTCTTAAAATTTGTTATATATTCATAAAAAATTTTAAGACTGATTTTTAAGTTTTACTTCTTTTATCGTCGTATTTTTTTCGCAAAGATTTTCAAAAAGATAAAACAAATAACGTGAGAAAAATAAAAAAGATATCTGTTTAAAAATATGTAAAATTTGAATTTTTGCTATGCTAATTTATGCTGTAAGTATGTTTGTCGTATGCAAATTATATTTCTCAATAAAATACACGATTCCTTTTTCGGAATTTGCGCGTGTTATTACTTAACGAGAATATTCTTATTATTCTTAATATTTATTCTTATTTATTATCTTCCTGTAATAATTTTCAATTATATAAATATAATAAAAATTTAATAAAAATATCAACAATATTTCCAGGTGTCTGTAAATAAATCATTAACGTCTTTCGAACAAAAGCAAGATGGGAGCAGTCGAATGGGTAGCCGATGAGGACACTTATGAATGCCCTCTCTCAATAGAAACTCAGAAGATAGCGAAAGAGGAGCTCAGAGAGGACAAAAACACCAGAGATCAGGCTCTCGAACAGATGCGCAATTGGATCAAAATGAATCCGCGCATTCAAAATTGTCGTCTCGGTGAGGCTATATCATCAAATGGCAATCAACGCGAATATTAGCGTAAAGATAAATTATCCTTGTCAATTTACCTTGGAAAAAGAACTTGTAAAAAACACAGTAATTTGACTAAAAATCCAATTAAATATCTAATATTCAACTAATATCCAATTAAAAATATGATTACATTGATAATAACTAATTGCATAAGTCCGTAAGTGGCCATAATCGCTCCACGATTTTGTAAGATTATAGGGGTAATTTTATAGATATTTTAACAAGCACTCTCGAACCTGAAATTGCACATGATATGTATCAATAGTGTGGCTAATTTGTTATCTTTTATTAGATGCACGATTTTTACTAAAATTCTTGCGATGCAAGAAATTCAATGTCCCGATGGCTCAGGAGGCTACTGAAAGATACTTGCTGCTTCGCCAGGTGTATCAACAAGCATTCCATGCATTGGATTTCACAGAACCGAATATGGAGGAGTTACTATCACTGGGGTATTTTTATGTTATTTTTATGTTATTTTATGATATTGTTTTATTAATCATAGAATTCTCCAATAAACAAAATTTCAACAATGTTACTAGAATGATGTTTTTAAAAAATAATTGAATAATGTATTAAAATAAGCTCTAATATGTGAATAACAATTCAAATATATATATCGTGAGAGACTATCGGAGCTTAATTAACGTGTGTTAAATATACTCTGTTCAATTCATTATTTGTTATATATATTTATGCTAATTATGCAATTGTAAATTATTAATATAATTATAATTGATTAATATAATTATTAATATAATTATTAATATAATTATTAT